AGGGAGATTCAGCATCACAGGTTCTTCGAACGGCACCTCCACCATATGTCACACAAGGCCCTTTCGGCTCGTGAGGGTTAGACCTGAGGTTAGGGTTTGCTCTTCAGGAAAACACACAACTACAACGGGAATAGTGTATATTGTCGTCCAATAGGTACATTACCAAAGGGGCACTACGTAGGTGTACCACATGACTCTTGTGCTGGGGCTCTATGTAGGAATACGGGTTCTGCACGTATAGGCAACGCTACCCTGCTGGAGGGTAAGACTCTCTGGGGTAAGGTGACCCTGAAGAGGAATGTAGCTACTGCTCCCTTGGGTAAGGTGACCCTGAGGAGAGAGTGATCCGAAGGGGTTAATGCTTCCTGGGGTAAGGAGACCCTGAGAAGAGAAAGACCCGAATGGATGCCGATACCATGGTTGTATCGGGTTTTTATATTCATGGCGTGTAAACATAATTTACGCGTTGACCTGCTTAACCGCTGACTGTCGATAAATCGTGTTCTAGTTAGTTTTAATTATTTTTGATATACAGGATGGTTTTTATTTATAGACCGTTAGTTGACAATATAGTCGACTTGTAATTCAATAATATCTTTTTGTATATTAGTTTTAAAATTTAAGTTAACTTTTATAATTTGAAATAGGGGTATATTCGTGTGAGGAGTGCAAACTGTTATTGTATGTCATAAGTACTATGTCCATTAGTTCTATACCATTTCCAGAATTAATTCACACTAGTAAAATTTGATTTCAAATTAATGAAAACTAAATTCACATCAGTGAAATCTAATTTCTCTCAAATGAAAATTGATTTCAAAGTAATGAAAACTAATTTCTCACAAACGAAATTTGATTTCACATTTGTGAAAATGAATTTCAAACTGACCCTAATTAATACTAATTTTTCAAACATTTATTATTTTTATTTGAAAAAAACATCAACAATAGTATATTACATACCGAGGTGGAAAGTGTTTCATTACTGTCGAGAGATTTTAGTTAGACCGAGGCACAGCCGAGGTCTAACTAAAATCTCGAGACAGTAATGAAACAAATTTCGTTAGTGAGAAATTAGTTTTCGTTACTTTGAAATCAATTTTCATTTGAGCGAAATTAGATTTCACTGATGTGAATTTAATTTTCATTAATTTGAAATCAAATTTCACTAGTGTGAAATAATGCTGGAAATGGTATAGTGTACTTTTGTCAGGATTTTCGAGTTTTTGAGATGTCAAGACTTTCCTTAGTGTTGATTGAAGTGTTTCTATTGGGGAGTTAGAATTTGGATTTTTCGGGGTGGTACCTATAGTGGATTTCTATTTGATATATATTACAAAAGTCCAGGATAGCCTGATTTTTAAAGACTCGTCCATTGTTAGTGGTAATTTTAGTCGGAATATCATGATTAGAAAAGCTTTACTCATTTCAATAGCGTTTTCAGCAATTATTGGAATTTCTTGTGCGAATTTAGAAAAACTATTGATGAGGGTTAAGAATTTTGTTTTATGGACAGTCCAGACATCTACGTACAGGTGTTCAAATGGTTTTGACCCGATCGGTGTAGGTAGGTTTAAATACTATCTTGTAGGGTTTTCTGTCTTGTTTGTTAACATATTTCGTCTGCATTTAAGTAGTTTAAAACTACTCTTTCCATGTTTGCCAATATGCATTTCTCTTGAATAATTTAATATTTTCGGTAGCACCACGGTGTGATGTTTTTGTTTCGTGATAGATTTGAATTTTATGTTGTTGTTCCTCGTGTGTATAAATGTCGCTTACAAAGTTGTTTGAGATTTGCAATTTGTATGAATTGTTATTGAAGTACTTCTTGAAAACTCTAAAAACCACAGGTTCTAAATCTTTTGCTTTAAAGTGACGGCAATAAGAATCGGGTTTAATAAATTGTATTATAAAGTTGGCAATTTATTGCTCGGATGGGTCGTTTGGTAAAAAGAAGATTAATCTGTTTTTTGTTTCGAATGGTTTCTCAATTTGCTTTCTTGGTACCTACATTATTATTTGAATATCTGAAAATGATTTGATTTTTGAATGAATTAATATTTTTATTTGTGTAAGGGCGCCTAAAATTGGGTTTTCCTGGGAAGTATGAATTGTTTGACATGTAGACTCATTGTTTTGAGGATGTTCTGTTTGGTCTTACTCGGGTATGACTTGGAAAGTTGGTTGGTTGGTTGGCTGAGATGCAGAATGAGCAGGCCGAGTTAGGTGGCTCTAACACTGCAGCCGTTGGCTTATTGTATTGTCGTCTGTTTATCCAGTGAAAAGTTTCGTGACCTTGATTAGGTGTAGGAGCCTCGTAACCGTGTTACTTTTGGTGAGCTCAGAGATAGGTTCTTCTGGCCCTATCTGTCTGTATCTCCATCAACGTAAAGCCTCACATTCGAAGATTATGTGGGTGGCGGTTTCATCCTCGTCACAAATTCTGCATATGGATTCTTCTTGGAGGATACCCATTGTGTGAAGGTGTTTTCTCAGGCTACAGTGTCTAGTTATAAGTCCAGTTATTAGCCTGATTTGATTCCTGTTTAGTTGTAGGATTTCATCAGTGAGATAATTTCTTTTTGCGTTTTGGATATCGGAAATTCTTTAATAGCCTGTATTTTCTCAGGGTTGGGTTTGATTCCGTCAGGGGTAATTAAGTGTCCTATAAACTGAACTGTTTTATGCTAAAATTCGGATTTGTCCAATTGTATTTCCATATTGTTTTCAATTAGTCTCTGAAATACCAATTTGATGCTTGACATGTGTTCTTATGATTGTAATGAGCTGGAAAAAATGATAATATCATCCATATAGACGCGGCAATGTTTGTTTTATAGTCCTTGCAACACGTTATCCAAAACTCTTTGGAATGTTGCTGGAGCATTTTTTAATCCAAAATGCATTCTCGTGTATTCGTAATAGCCGTTTTCTACATTGAAGACTGTTTTCTCAATTGAGTTAAGTCTTGTGTTGTAAAATATTGTGCACGAGCTAATTTATCTAGGACATCGGTTATATTACGCATTACGCAATGGGTAACGGTCATCAATGGTCTTTTCATTGACTTTTCTATAGTCTATAACCATGTGCCATTTTTTCTTTCTCGAAGCATCAGCTTTCTTTGGGACTATTCATACTGGGCTACACCAAGGGGAACTTGATGGTCTTATGATTTTGTCGTTTAGCATTTCTTCGATTAGTCTCTTGACCTCTTCTTTGTGGACATACGGATACCTGTATGCTCTAGAATGAACAGGTATCTCATCTTTCGTTTTGATTTTGTGCTTCAGGAGTATTGCAAGCCTCACTACGTTCGGCTCGCAAACCTACTGCTTCAGCACAAAAAAGTAAAGCTTCTACTATTGTTCGGCTATTGAGGGTCGTAGAAGTGAGGTATGTGATCCCGGTGTCTATTAAAAGTAGGATTTCTGGTTTAGAAACATAAATGAAAGGGAGTGCATTGACTTGGGATGCATTTAAACTTAGGCATGAGATTGGTCTTCCGAAACTGGTGTGGGAAAATTTTCATCGCTCACAACTTCATTGTTTGTACTGGTCATAAGGTGAAAAGTTTCCAGAAAGAGGTTCCAGTGTTTTGGTCAGATGTATCTTCCGGTTGCGGATCTATGTTTATCAGAAACTTTTGTTATAAAATACACCAAAGAATCACCCCCTTTCATTTGTACATGATATTTAGGACAATGGAAATTATATTTTTTGAAGTTGTTTTGCCAAGTTGATCGACACAGTCTATGATGACCTGAGGCCCGATTCTCGTCTCAGGGAGAGGTGAGCTCCCCGAGAGAAAAAATTTTTCGTCTTTATCGTTCTCGTTTACATTTCAATTACTTTGACAAGGACAAAACATTCGTTCTCTCGGGGACGAGAATTGGGTCCCTGACCTGTTCAACTAGTAAAAGATCGAGGTAAAAATACCCGTTTTCTGCAAAAGTCAAAAAGTGACGCCTTTTTCAACTTCAATTCTTAATGTTTAATTTCACAAACGTCATTTTTTTGTTACTTTTTTGTCCAGCCGTGACGTGAGCGTACAAGAAAGTGTACTTTTTTGTACGCTCACGGCCGGACAAAAAGTGTAGTCACGGAAATTTAACCTTGACAATCACAAAACCAGTAAGCAGAGCAATCTGATATTACGTTTTTCTACATCTAATCTTTTTCGACAATATTTATTTCCTCGATTCTATCGTTTGAACACCGTTTGCGGAAAAAAAAAACGCATGTTTTATTCGGAGAAAAGCACTTTTTGTGGCTCGTCTGAAATTGTCGGCGTCAATACGTTCGGCCGACACAACTTATTTTCTAGAGGACAGAATATGTGGGATTGAGTAGCACTTATAGGTACTATGAACGTATGTATACTGCAAATAACAGTAACAGTTGAAACTGTTATTTGTAAATAACGGTTTTTTCCATTTCTACTCTAGCCTGGAGTAGACTGTAAGTTTGAGAGGAGGAAATCAGTTGATATCGATATCTCGCTCACTCTCAAACGCATGCATAGTACCCTCGCGCTCACACTCACGGAAAAATTATTATTGCGTCTGGGGGGATGTTTGGCCAGTGCCATTGGTCTGGCTGATCACACGTAGTTATGAAATAGTCTCCCCAATAACATAAAAAAATCAAGCGTTAGAAAAAAAGTTAAAGTTTTTCTCAGCTTTCGCACCTGGTATCGGTAAATTGGCCGTCTACCCAACTTAGCGGGTATACATACGTTCATAGTACATACATGATAAATGCTACTCAATCTCACATATTCTGTCCTTTAGAAAATAAGTTGTGTCTGGCGGCTCTGGGCTCTTGGACTATTAGTCTCGCCAATGAAAGTATAATTTTTACTCCTAATTATATAATATACTATTTTCTGGCGAGTATTTTGCATCTGGTGTCATTTGGGGCCTCTAAATTACTCGAAACTCAGTATATTTCGTTTAAAATGTAATCTAATACATACAGATATTCTCTCTTTCTAGGTTGTAGATTTGCTCAACGATCTGTACACCTGTTTCGATGCCACGATAAATGCATACAACGTCTATAAGGTGGAGACGATCGGGGATGCGTACATGGTAGTAGGAGGGTTGCCAGTCAGGATTCCGGATCACGCTGAACAGGTGAGAGCTTTATAGAATATTTATTGGAAATGAGATAATTAAGAAATAACATAGGTACAAAACTATTTTGTGTAGTCTTGAAAAAGTTTCAGTCAAGGTAGTTGAGTTAATTCACTAATCCTTTCTTCCAGAGTCTTTTAGTGACTATTCAAATTTATGTGTTCAACTGAGTTTTTTATGCAGTTTTTGTAAGTGAAAGATCCATTAATCATATTAAAATCTCAGTCATTTTCGGTGTCAGAAGTTAATATTGATATTTTGATTATGCAAATCGCGTGCAAAATGCGTCGTCGATATCTTGTGTCTTGTCAGGTGATTTATTATGTGGACAGTGAGCCTATTAATTTCGATAAAGTGTTTTCGATTTATCAGTTCCGCCCTGGTAAGTATTCGCAATTCATCTGGATGATGTCTGTGAGGTAAGGCAGAGGTCGCGGAATATACCCTTACAGCAAAATAAATTTGAAATCGTTTAGTTCACTGTCTCTATTAGGTTTTTTGTCAAATTAATAAAGAAGGCATTTTTTCTCTTAACTCACCAGGGATGCTTCTTCTGGTCGGTATATAATATAAATCGTATTCCATTGCAAAAGTGGAATAGGATCAAATCTTTCTCCAAAACATCTCAGTGCAGAGTATATAAAGAGCCTGGTTTTGCAAATTCCATAATTTTGTTTGGATTATTTTATTTGTTGTGGAACAAAAACAATTAATGATCTGAATGGAAAAGTAGGTGACTTAACAACAGAAACTTCCGGTTTAAGAAGACACGGAGAACAAGTAAGGGAATAATAATGGAGTTAGAATAAAAAACTTCCCATTAGAAAATAAATGGAAAAACGGAATTACACACTTTGCAAAGAGAAAAAGCTCTGAAGATGTTGAAGACTTTGGAATGTCTCAGATTCAGAATTGAAGACTTTGATGATGTAGACTTTAAAGAGTCGACTAATTCAAGACCCAGATCTAAAGATTCTAGTTTCAAGACCTAAAGTTTAAGGTTTAAAGTGAAAATGTCATGTATTTATATCAGCCAAATGGAATAAATTCGATAATAAATAAATGGCGACTTTTCGAAAAAACGCTCGGACATGTCGATTCTGTTTTTTGCTTAAATTTTTTTTTTTTCTGAATTCTGCGAAAAATTCTAAGAATATTTCATAGCGGGTCTTCAAAAAAAAAGCAATCAAAGATTGCTATGGTTGTCTTATGACGAAGTATGACATGTCAAAAATTCTGACCAATAAAGAAACAATAATGCGACGTACGTTTTCGTAATCAAAGCAATCTTTGATTGTTTTTTTTTTGAAGACCCGTTATTTTATACCCATCTTCAACTGTTTCGGAAAGATTGAAAGTTAAAAATTGACTTTTTTGCAACTTTGACAGGCTGTAAAACCTATACGGTTAATTTAACAGCAAAAAATTTTTCATTCTCGTCTGAAGCTTTTCATAAGCTATGATTTGACACCAACTTTGAATTTAACCGGAATTTTTAATCATGGATTAAATTTAAAAATGGCGTTAGATGATAGTTTATGAAAAACTAAGACAATAATGTATGACCAGTTTTGCTGTAGAATCAACCGTTTAGGTTTCACAGTCTGTCCAAGATGCAAAAAAGTCCAATTTTCAACTGTCAATATTTTCGAAACACTTGAAGATAAGTAGATATTGTACCTTTTGAACATATTTTATATTGACACGTATATAGTGATGGTAAATTCCCAGGAATTTATTTTTTGGGAATATTCCTTGGAAATATTCCCAAGAATGTTTCCAAAATGAGAATTTTCGGGGAATTTTCTGTTTTAAGTGAAAATCCCTATTTATATGAGTTGTAGAGTATGTGTGAAGAGTGCAATAAAACAACTATTTGCTGATAAGTCAACCAACAGCCTTATCTATTCCAAAGCTGGAAAAAATGAAACAAACGATCATTGAATAAACATAAAATTCAGAAACAGAGCAAATATTACCAAACCAAGCACTAAAAAGGCAGAGAAAAAAAACCTGATGAACACATGCTCTCAATAGGTAGGTATACAAAAAAAAGGGAAAAATAAATTAAGCTTCTACATATACCAATAATTATTATGTAAAAAAATAATTCACAAATTCTGTTACATGTATGTTATCGTCATTCGGTTCAAATCCAGAAGAATCACTACTCAAACTCTCACTTTCTTGTTGTTTGTTGTTCACACTCACCAAATAGTGCGATTTTAATATCCAGACTGCGCACGAAATCAAAATAAAAATTCCAGCGTCACCAGCGTGAATAAACTCACATAGAAAATAAATTCCCTGTAACGGAAATTTATTTTTATTATACTTACCTGAAAACACCTCTTTTTCACCTGTCTTTACAATAAAGTAAAGGTGACATTTCCAGAACAGCGCACGGAATTTTTTTCCCGATCTCTGTTTCCGTGCGCTAACCAGATAAGACGTGTCAGTCAATGTTGCATCCTTGTCATTCATTAGAAATTAAACAAAGATATATTATAAATGTATCCCGAAAAATGAAAAACGATTTAAGTTTCTGTGACAACCATCATTTACCTATTACAGTCGTGAGCATTGAAAGTGGGACACCCGATTTTTCCTATTATAAAACGAACTCACCAGCTATACAATAGGTCTGTTTCTGCAGAAATCACCAACCAGTCAGAGTCAATTTCATTGATTGAAATTAGTTTTCTGACTGTTTTCAAAAAATGAAATTCGCTCCGACTGGTTTGTGATTTCTGCAGAAACAGACTTTATGTACTACAATGACGGGGATTGTCATATTTGCCAGAAAATCCATTGTAGAGAAAAGACTGATTTACCCAAAAAAGCAAAAAATGACAAGACCTGTCAGTCGGGTGTCCCACTTTCAATGCCCACGACTGGACCTATTTTTGACATTTCATTTTCTGTAATTCATGCCATTGTAAAAAAATGGGAATTTTCTGTTTTTATCGTTTTCAGATAAGTATAATAAAAAATATCGTTCATTACACGTCCAGAAATGGATTTTTCCGTTCTTGCATGACTTTCCGTGCTCGGCTGCGCCTCACACGAGAATTTGTCACGCGTGCACGGAAAAATCCTTTTTTCTGGACAGGTAATGAAATATACTATTAACCTTGGAGGAATATTCCTGGAAAAATCTCCATTTTGGAAAATTTCCAAATTGGGAATATTCCCTTTGCCCATCACTACACGTATATAATCAATAACCAGAAATTTCCGACCATTATTGATAGCTTTTCAAAATTTGGTCAAGCCTCTCTTGTAAATAAGAAAACAGCTGTAGAAATATCATCACAGTTATTGCAATATTTTAGTGATCATGCATGGAATACCTCAAAAAATCACATCAGACCAACATGTCTTGGCACAGTCACGTGGCAGATATTGCTAAAAGGGCCTCCCAAAAGCTGGGGGTGCTATTTCGTACAAGACATCTGTACACACCAAGCCAATTGCTGACACTCTACAAAGCCCAGATTCGACCAACCATGGAGTACTGCTCACATATATGGAGTGCAGCACCCAAACATACCTTAATGCTTTTGAATACCGTGCAAAAACGAGCTATCAAGCTGATCAATGACCCCGCACTTACTCGTAACTTGGATGGTCTCGAACATCGCAGATCTGTGGGCGATTTATCTCTCTTCTACAGGTACTATCACGGAAAATGCTCTGAAGAGTTGGCACGTATGATTCCACCGAGAGTAGCGCCTACCAGGCGAACCCGTCAAACAGACGGTAACCATGAATTTACTGTCAAACTAGAGGCACCAAGAACCTCATTATATCAGATTTCATATCTCTGGAGAACAGCATCGCTGTGGAATAAACTCCCTGCGACGGTTTTCCCTGCAGGTTACAACCTGAACCGTTTCAAGACCAACATACACCGACATTTCCGCGCACTTGCCGCTTCTCGAGCGTGATAGGACATTTCCTTGCGAGTGCGCATATCCGTAAAAAAAAAAAAAAATCAGATAATGGAGCAGAGTTCAAAAATGCTATAATGACAGATCTTTGTACATTATACAAAATTGAGTTTCATTACACAACTCCAAGAAATCCAAACTCAAATAATCCAATTGAAAGATTCCATCCGACACTACGTGAAAGTATATAAAACTTCATAATCCGAATAAGAGTATTATTGATCTAATGACAATCGCGACAAAAATTGGCACTTTCCATAAGAACTAAATGTGTTAGAGAGAGACAGAGAAGGGAATTTTGGTATGAAATTACTAAAAAGTAGAAAAAAAATAAATTTTTTTAATATGCGATACGTCATAGGTTCTGGGACATCAGAAGCTATTAAAATCTGAAATAAAAAATCCAGGTCCGTATTTAAAAAAATAAAGTTGATGATGGCCGCCCAAAGACAAAATGTCGAATCTAAAATTTGGTAGCGAGATCTTGTAAAGGGGAAAAAGTGACAATGATGAAGTGACATTTATTTTAAAATTGCTCTTTAAATAGACTCAGAAAAAATAAAAATGGTTTTGCAAAATTTCGGTTTTTTCCGAATATCTTCGGAAGTATTCGGAATTTTTCAAATTTCAAAACGGCATTTTAGTGGTCATAGAATTGCGGAACTTTCCCAAAATTTAACCGACCTCGTATCTCCTATAGTTTCCGATATCTCAATGGTCACCTTCGAATTTGGGACACCCTCTACAAGCTCAAAATATTTCCTTGGAAAACCAAAATTTCCATTCAATGTTAATTTTTAATTTAATATTGAATAATATCAATATTCAAAGTAATAAAATAAGGAATCTTATTGATCATGAAAGTAAGTTTTTGGCTTATTGGACGTTTATTTAATATTGAAATCAATGCCGACGTTTCGGTGTACTCCACACCATCTTCAGGAATTATATTTCTGTTGAAGTAGTTGAAAAATTGAATTTCGAGCTCCCCTTTTTATTTATATACGTAGATGACACTCTAACTGCTCTGCCCAATGACAAAATAAC